TTGCTAGTAAGAGCTGTGACAAATTTCCTTTTGATAGGCAATATTTCGTATTTATTTATAAGACGATCATGTTCTCATACCCTATAACAAATTGCGAGGCTAAAAGGGTATGCTTGTGCAAATCCTTAAAAACATATGCAAATAAGCAATAGCTCGCTCTGAAATCGACAGTTCTAAACACTCGTATTTTTAGTAGATTTTTTAGAGCTGCAATACATACGATAGGACAATAACGCGCTATTATCAATATATATGTATATGTTCAATATTAATATGCTTTCATCAATAGTTACAATAATTAGTGAACATATCTTGTTTGACCCTTTAACTCTCTCAGCTCTTATAACCAATACCCATTCATTTATAAACATTCAAAGGGGAACTTTTCTAGGGCTTACAGGGTAGCTCTAAGTCGATCGCTGTCAGCTCGTGCACTTTGATTTGTTTTTTTATTTGCCTACGACGAGTGCTATTTTTATTACAGTTGCAAAGTTGCGCAGTCTTCGCGCGGCGTCTGTCACAGTGTGGCCAATGATCTTAGAGGCTGTCAACATGGGCCGAAGCACCCAGGCAGATGTAGCCTATAAATAAAGGAAACGTCTCAATAGCAGCTAATTTAGCCGAGTTACGGATTTCTTTTTGCGCAAACGTATGTCAAATGCCGCCGCAGTTGATTGCTCGAGCCAAGATTTGCCGGCTCCGGTACAATGTACTCGAACAATGCAAGCGCAGTTATCACTCGGCCACAGTGGGGCCAAATAGTCGCCACAATGGACTTGTTGGGGCGTGGCTGACTTTGAAGCAGGGCCACCGCCGCAGAAGGTGGCAGCTCATCAAACATTCAACATGCACGCATAAATAATAGTTTTATTATTATTGGCTTTATGCGCACATCAAAACAAATAACAATAAAACCGGACAGTCCGCAGGCACTCGGCACATATTAGTATGCAAAGCATTTCTAATGATTGTCAATGAATTGATAATGCCGACAAATGCATTGGCATGCCAGGCATTAAACCGCAGACGCGGCTCTCATAGAGCTCCCATTTTGCAACTGCAGGCGACTCGCAGTTAAGCAGCCCCAGTGACAAATATGTGCAGAACATAAAATAACATTTCATTGGAAATCTAACAAATTTATCACACACTCCCCATAACTCACTTCAGCGGACGGCTGGTGTTGATGGACCTGATGGTGTTCATGTTCGTGTTGGTGTTGGCTTGGTCAGGCCCAGGCCCAGGCTAGGTTGAGCTGCCCCCGGGAAGAGTCTGCTCAAATGTGGAATATGCTGGCGCCAGCAGCCGCAAACAGCCGTTGGTATAGTAGTTTAAATAAGTCTTTAACACAGTTTCAATTTAGATTCATATTCGCACGCAGATACACATATGCATGTGGACAGTGGCATAGATCCGAAGGGGCATCGAGGAAGGACTTGTACTGTACAGTATACATAGGCTGCTTTTAATTTATTAATTTAATGCATTAAGCTCTCAACGCTCACTTTTAATTGAAACTACTTTTGTTTCAAATAAATCGAATACGTCATATTCTGGCCCACATTCGGAAAGATATTTAATGTTCGCAGTACAAGTAGGGTCACTTTAATAAGATATTTTTTGTAAAAACCAAAATATTGGGACTTGTTTTAGAACAATTTAAGTGTTTAATTATAGGTCAAGTACTCTTCTGGTTCAAATGAAAGGAAGTCATAATTATATTGAATTTTTTTAATTATATATGAATTTCTTAAGAGTTCACCCCCGAATAAAATTCTAGCATACGCCACTGTTTTTCGATACACACACACACATATCTATGTATGGAAGCTTATAGCTGCTCATCATCAGGCACTTTCAATTAAAACATTTCATTCCCTCTTGAATATTGCCTTTGATTAAGTGACTAAGCGGATGAGAGATCATCACATGTGCGGATTACGTGAAAATATGAGGCAAACATTATGGAAACAGATACAAAACTATATATGTAATGTGTGTATGCCAATCAATATGTTTGTACGTCTTTGATTAGCCAAATTTCGGTGACATTGGGGCAACATTAGGTTCTGACATTGCAACTGTTGAATTGATTAAAAATTCAAAAGAGTTGAAGCTAGATTTGTGTACAGAGGCTACCGCAACATGAATCTGTTTATGAATAAACAGACAGCACTCCCAACCGATAAGATGCTGCTTTTGAAGTCCCGAGCGGCAAAAAGGTCACCCATACATTGCTTCTGCTGATAAGACTAGTTGTGAACTTACCCCGGGGAGCACTGCTCGCTGCGTTTGGCTCGGGGGCCATCTGTGAGCTGTCTTCTGCTGCGCTGGTATCCACATCGATCCAATCGTAGCCCTCATCCTCGTCCTCCTCGCTTGCGGTGCCTTGTTGGTCCTTGCCTCGCCGCAACTGTGGCCGACGGCTGCCCGTCGAGGCGCCGCTGAGCTTGTTGCGCCGACGCGGATGGAGACCCGTGTGGCCGTTCCTGTCGTTGGGACTCAACTCCTTCTGCTGCTCCAGTTTCAGGGCACTGACACTGACACTGAGCGTTGCAAGTGCCATGGCGAACAACAGCCAAGAGGCCCGCATTTTTGTATACTTGCTTTCGAGTTGTGCTTTTATGTTTTCTTTTCTTGAGCTGATAACACTTTGTGGTTGCCCTTAACGTCCTTGTGGTAAGTGCATTTTGCGCACTTTAGCTTATCTGACAGAGGAAACGGATGTCACCGAATAATTTGTACTCGCCAGCTCTGACGAATTGCGTCCATTCGCAAGTGCAGTTTGTATACGTAATAGTTCTGTACAAGGCACCAATATTCCGATTTGTATGCGCATATTCTCTTGGTTTCACTCAATGAAAGTGATTTCTGTTTCTAGATAGTGAAAATCGCGTCGATTTTATTAAAAGCGATGCCAACGCATTCGAAAAAAACAAATGTATAAGCTTGTTCGCTTGAGGATTGTAAGATGCCTAACCCGCACACGCCCTCCCCCTCCAACTTATTCCTACCCTCTCACACACTAATTAAGCCAATTGACCTCGCGCGGCCGTCCGCAAGTGTTGAAGAATAAAGTCGGAGCAGAAAGCGGCACGATGCGTCGTGGCGACATTTTATCAAAAGTGAACAAAATTATTTATAAGAAAATATATAAAAATATATATTTGTATGAAACCGGAGAGGCGAGATGTATTCCGCTTGTAGAGAGACTGACAAACTGACATACTTTACACATGGCATGTACACACGGCTGCGCACTAATGATGAGGCTGAGGCCTACAGGGCTGGCGGCATGCCGCTTTGATGTCCTTCTAATTGCATATTTTACGGCGCAGTGGAACCGCCCACTTACTAAACACACACACACACACACACCCGCTTGTGTGCCGCATGCAAGTGCATTATATCCTGCTAAAGGGTTCCACTCTCAAAGAGTGTGTAAGTGGTGCTATTTGTTGTAAGCTTTCGCACAAAGGCGCCAGGATGATGGCCATGTTTCCCCGACAAAGCCGACATCTCAGAAGTCAGAAGACAAAAGGGAAACTCACAGAAACTAGACAAATATTAACTCATATGCCAGCAGCATGCTGACTGCTGTGAAATGACAGAGAGTCGACGGCTGGATGTGACTGTTCCGGGCGGGCTCTGGCTTTGATTACGTTATATGCAGAACAATGCAATCACAAAGGAGCTGTCCCCGCAAATGGCGCCACTTTTCGAAAGTTCACGCGAGGATGCACAACCAAAGCGGGGCACTTCACGGGCGGCTTTTATTGTGCCTTCGAACCCCAACGAAATCGCGTACTCGTAACACTTTGATGCACTTGCACTTTGACTTCTGCCCTGACGAGTACTCGCATAGATCCGCTTATCAGAGCAACACATTTCGCACAGCCACGTTTCTTACAATTTGATTCCAAATCCTTTAGTAATTGGCTATATTTTTAATTGGAATTTCGCCTTGCCAAGACATTGCCGTATTCCCGGCTATTGTCAGCTTTTCGAACGACGGAGAGCACACAACACCCGCGAGCGCGCCGGCTGACAGTCGACAACTGAATGAACTGGCTCTTAATCTTCATGTGTGCGCCTCGGCGGCAAGCGCAGAGTAATAAACAGCCTGTGCACAGTGGTGCGAGCTCGTGCAAGCAGGCCATCAAAATTCTAAACAAGTGGTGGATTGTGAATGGTGGTAGAAACTGCTCGCAAAACCTATTATAATGTAAAATTGTTATCTATTTCATTATAATTATGTGCTATACTAGCGCCTATTTCTCGGCCTTGCATGTGGCATGTTTTATCCCGCAAATTTTGGTGGATTTTACGAAAAGAGTGAAAAACGAAACGATCGAAAGGTAAACACTTAACTGTTTACCGCCAATTTAGCACGGTTACGAGTAGCTCTTATGGTTTGGGCTGTGCGTCGATCAGGCAGTTAGGACACTCACTTTTATATATAGAGATAAATGTATATTTGTAATTACGTACTTACCTGTAAATTCAGACGCACGATGATAGCCTCGTCATCTGTTAGTGGGTGGAAGACGAGGTCCCATACAATCCCATGTCTGAAATAACGGAAAAACAAAAATAATGTATTACATTAAAAACGCTGCTTGCATTCTAAACCCTACTTGAATTAGTGGGAATTTATGTGGAGCATTTTTTTGTTAGTTTTTAGCTCAGCTTAACATACGCGCATATATATATTCAAATACATACGATGTAATCGTTGCTACTGTTATTTTAATTATAAAAAGACATTGCTGTGTTTATATTACTTACCAACTTTCTCAATATCATCCGCCAAAGCTATAGCCGCTAGCTCCTTCATAGTTGAATCCGCCTCCTTCACAGTTGAAGCCGTATCCTCCAATATTAAAGCCGAAATTTCTTCTTATCACTGAAGCACGTGAAGCAAATGGAAGAAAACTTAAAACTTCGACAAAAAAAATCTTTAATTTTCCCCCAAGTAGGCTGGGTTCAGTCAGGACAAGCAGTTTTATATATAGAGATATTCCTAGAAATGTTTTCCTGCATTTTACATTGACTTGTTAATTAGACTTTATATTTTTTTATTCGGGTCAAAAAAGAAAACTGGTCAATTGGCCCAGCTTGTGTACTTAAAGCGCCATCTCTTGACCGAATTGTTGAAGATAATAAAGCAGTGCAGTTGAGTAATTTTAAATATTTAGGTTTGTGTATTAGACAAACAAAAGATGGTTTCTATCTTGGATAGGCACAAATGAGGTCCAAATATTGGAATAAAAGCGGGCGAGAGAGAGGGAAATTTCTTATACTTAATTGAGTGACATTTTTTAAATTTCAAACTTTATCGTTTATGCGAACAAAAACTGTTGTTGGGAAATTTTTTAAAAATTGGCAGAAGACTAATCATAAACTGTGCGAAAATCAAATAATCTTTTCGTTCGTCTTAATTTAAAAACTGAAAACATTTTACGTAGAACTAGATTTGAGAGGAATATATACTTTGTGTGCCCATAAAGCATGCCAGAAAAAATCTTTAATTTTCCCCCAAGTAGGCTGGGTTCAGTCAGGACAAGCAGTTTTATATATAGAGATATTCCTAGAAATGTTTTCCTGCATTTTACATTGACTTGTTAATTAGACTTTATATTTTTTTATTCGGGTCAAAAAAGAAAACTGGTCAATTGGCCCAGCTTGTGTACTTAAAGCGCCATCTCTTGACCGAATTGTTGAAGATAATAAAGCAGTGCAGTTGAGTAATTTTAAATATTTAGGTTTGTGTATTAGACAAACAAAAGATGGTTTCTATCTTGGATAGGCACAAATGAGGTCCAAATATTGGAATAAAAGCGGGCGAGAGAGAGGGAAATTTCTTATACTTAATTGAGTGACATTTTTTAAATTTCAAACTTTATCGTTTATGCGAACAAAAACTGTTGTTGGGAAATTTTTTAAAAATTGGCAGAAGACTAATCATAAACTGTGCGAAAATCAAATAATCTTTTCGTTCGTCTTAATTTAAAAACTGAAAACATTTTACGTAGAACTAGATTTGAGAGGAATATATACTTTGTGTGCCCATAAAGCATGCCAGAAAAAATCTTTAATTTTCCCCCAAGTAGGCTGGGTTCAGTCAGGACAAGCAGTTTTATATATAGAGATATTCCTAGAAATGTTTTCCTGCATTTTACATTGACTTGTTAATTAGACTTTATATTTTTTTATTCGGGTCAAAAAAGAAAACTGGTCAATTGGCCCAGCTTGTGTACTTAAAGCGCCATCTCTTGACCGAATTGTTGAAGATAATAAAGCAGTGCAGTTGAGTAATTTTAAATATTTAGGTTTGTGTATTAGACAAACAAAAGATGGTTTCTATCTTGGATAGGCACAAATGAGGTCCAAATATTGGAATAAAAGCGGGCGAGAGAGAGGGAAATTTCTTATACTTAATTGAGTGACATTTTTTAAATTTCAAACTTTATCGTTTATGCGAACAAAAACTGTTGTTGGGAAATTTTTTAAAAATTGGCAGAAGACTAATCATAAACTGTGCGAAAATCAAATAATCTTTTCGTTCGTCTTAATTTAAAAACTGAAAACATTTTACGTAGAACTAGATTTGAGAGGAATATATACTTTGTGTGCCCATAAAGCATGCCAGAAATAGTTTAGCCTTATCAGATAAATTCCTAAATTAATTTCTAAATAAACTCCTACATTAACACTCTTATATTTTATAAATTGTTTTTATCACTGCTAAGAAATTGGTTATGGATTTTAATAATGATAAAAAGCAACGTGGTTTGGGTAAGTTCTATTAGAGACGCATTGCAAACTAAATTTGTATACTTGAGATCAATAATAATTCAAATCCCAAAAGGCCCCAGTTTTTTGTTGGAGCGAAAGCAGCGTATATCTATTGAAGGTCGAGGCGATATGTACATCAAGAACACTCAAACCCAGGTTCGCGAGCTGTATCGGCGCGAGGCTCTAAACGAGCCTCGGCGAAGTTCCTCTTCTAACACCGATAGCCAATTGCTGAAGACCAGCCTGGAGGTGAAGGCGCTCAACAAGAAGATTGAACGTGAGATTGGCAGATTGAAGAATTTCCGTTATTCTTTCCTAAAGGATGACCAGAGTCCAGTGCAAAAGCAAAAGCCGGCACCGACAAAGGCGACTGTCAAGCACTTGCATTGGCGTCAAAAGCTATTAAGACACCACAAAGGACGCACTTTTGACGAGAGTCCAACGTCTTCCAATCGGCAAGACCTGCAAAGCATAGGATTTTCCTCGCCAGACACTGGCGACAGACGACCATATTTTCGGACTATGTGCGTCGCATCCTCCCCGAAATCGAGTGCCAGTGAGCAGGTCGATTCCAGCCGGCCGACAACTGGCGATAATCGTTTGGATCGAAAACAAAATCAGCCGGAACAGAAGATCACCCGCATGTGTGGTGGCTGTGTCTATGGACACGGCGAAGACATGTCGCGGCCATGCTCAGTCTATCAGAGCGACTACTGTCAGTACGGTGGCGCCTCCTTTTGTCCCCAGTGCACTCCGAACAGTTATAGGACCTGTGATATGCCCGGACCTGTGCCCATGCCTTACTCGCCCGATCCGTTATACCAATATCGCGTAGGGTCAGTTAACCAGCAGCAAGATTCAATGATGACCAGCTGTACGTGTTCCAGGCCGAGCTGTTGCAGGCGTAGAACGGACTTGAATACGGATAAGTTCTGTCACAGCTGTGCAGATCCTTTGTCAAACCGTGATCGCTCTCCAAAAACTAAAGACAATTTTCTGTCTAGATCCCCCTCCCCGCGACCACAAACGCGACGCGTTGGGAAAGAAAAGGGGAGATCTGAAAGCCCCTATAAGTACCCAAGTCAGAGAGAACAGCGGCCAAATCCAGACAAAGTAATGAAAATTTCTTTTAGAAAACAGCAATCGGAATTATCCGAGAGCGCCAAGACGAAGCCAGCCAAGGATAAAATGATCATTAAAGCATACGTAGCAGCGCAAGCGCCGGCTATTGATAGACACCAGATTGACGAGGAGAAGTTGCGCATGCACCGCGAGTATATGGAAATGTACAGAATGGAGCATGAGAAAACCGCCGGAAAGGATTCCAGCATAAATATGTCAGAGCTCGGAATATCTCCCACCTATACAATACTGCCCGTGCAGGAAAGCACAAGTGCAAAACATTGTCGTTCATATATCGTAGGTACGTCCACAAGTCGTCAGGTGAGGTTTTCACTTGATCAGTGTAAATGTGAGGATCCTTCGGAAGCGAAGATATGCCAGGACACGGTTACGCAAACGGTGGTAACAAACAGCCGCATGCAACAAATGGAGAACTCCTCCAGCGTCGAGTATGAAAGCTGTGAGGCTAAGACGGACCAATTCCAAAAGCGTACGCTATCCGTTAAGCGGAATGACGTGGTAAAAACAGTCTCAAGCTGTGAAACGGATGAAGTAGAAGAGGACTTTCTCGATGAACGCTCATCCTACGGTGCGAGCGGAATGAGCCAGTGGCAACTGGCGCAGCAGCCGCCTTCGATGACCAACCAGTCCAGTCAAACGTCACCGAAAATAGCTGGCCCGACAGTTTCAAGCTACATGTCCCAGTGCCAGGGCATCATTCGTAAGCAAACGACAACCCAAACAGATATTCAAAGCGACTCCCGCGACTGGCAAGAGTGTCCCGATATATTAACACATGAGCAGCTCCTAAGCTTGAATCAGGAAAATGCTGTTCAAAGACCTACGACAAGGCGCGACTTGGCAACGGTTTCGGAACAACCAACATTCTCTGGGACCCTCGAAGTAAGTAAAACATATCAAGTCTATTTATCTACGAGCCATGTTAATTGAATCACCAACAGCATTCCTATAGAAAGGTCGTCCAAAGTGAGCCGGTTATTCAATCTCCACGCGCTGAGTTTGCATATGACAATGGCCCAATCTCTGCAGCTGAACGCCCTGAAGCTTTCCAATCGCAGCCACATGTTTGGATTCAGAACTCGTCAGACGCAACTGTATCGCCCAGAAAGTGTATTCCATGGCATGAATTGACGAGCAGTTGTACGCAAAGCCAGCAAATCTGTCGTGATAGTTCCGGGGTCCAACAAAATGCGGTAGACTTCACGGAAGAAATCTACGAAGATTGCAAATGCCCTGGTTCAACCCCAGTGCATACGGATTACGGCAACGACAACGTGGACTACAGAAACCAGCACAATTTACCGCCTAACTTAACAACCACGGAGTACACAAGTTTGGTAGAATGTCCAGATTATAACAGCATAAAAAGACCTGATGACTGTGAACCGTTTGAAGATACTACAGCCGATTATGACTCTATTGTGGAAGAGCTGAGTAATACTATGCTGTCCATGCAAGTGCGTAGTCCGACGCCAACATTGGACGCAACCTTGACTTGTAGAGACCAAGATGAACAAGATTTCAATCCGTGCGATGATTCACAGTACATTCCACAGCTGGAGGAGCCAGGAGCCTCTGGGCGCGCCTATTTGTACAGACAAGAGCAGTTAATACACAACTTCGAGCCTCCACGTCAGGAATCCTATGACAGAGAGCAGCTGGCAATCAGAGATCAGAGTAGGTCCACCGTTCGCGAGAGGCGGGCACGTTCCGTGACATTTGAAGATGAAAGCGGCTTCAGCGAGAGAAGCAACACGGTCAAGAGCTGCCGCAGCGTCGTTGATTGGGAGCGAGTATCCCAACATAGCCTGAGAAGAGACACAGGACAAGAAGACTTTCCTGATCGCAACGGATATGTCGACGATGGAAGCCCTATGGATTCATACAGTAAGTAGAGCAATGTCCATGCTTGAGTTGCCATCGAATGTTTAATTTTTATTCCTTAGGATCGAGCAGCACGGCGGGCACAGAGTTTACGTGTAATGAGTCCAACTACGGAGACGATTACATAACCTGCAATGAGGCCCAAACGGAACGCGGTATTCATATTGGTATTCCGCCCTTTACCGGATGTCCCTGCATGCACAATGAGTATATGAAGCTGGTTGGCATGTGTAAGCCAAGACCTTATGGTGGGCTTAACAGCTGGAACTTGCCGGATTAATGTGTTTAGCTTTCGACTTATATATTAACTTGATGCTTAAAATAGTTTTCTTACGCTCGCTGCCTAAATATTATAAATATATTTTTGAATATTACAATACAATAAACTGACAGATGGGCATTGCTCTGTACACAGTACAAATAAGATTAATTTAAGCTATTGCAATACCTAAATATAAAACACATAATTTAATATTAATATTATAATATTCAAGTACAAACTTACAAATAAAGTCGCTTATAATTAAAAAATCTAAAAATGCAAGAGACAAGGTTTGTGTACACAATACAATTTAGATTAGAAATACCTAAATAGCTTTAAGTCCTAATGCCCAAATGTAAAATGTATTTGAGTATAATACAATTAAATTAAAACTAATCTTAGACTTCATCACTTGGCTTAATTTATAGCGTTTTGGGTGGGACTTTGGGACTGACTTCCCTTGAGCGCGCCTGACAAAAGCGGTCCTCGGTTAAATTTTTACGTAACTCTTGTGCTTGCCGCTCATACTGATTGGCCAGAAGTTCCTGTTGATTACAACGTTCGCGCTCTTCTTGAAGTTCCCTCTGTTTTGGATGACAATGTGCTTATGCCTTCGTTTTTGTATGTTTTATAATGAATTAGTTACCACAGTCTTTTCGTGCAGCTGCCTAAGACGCTCCATTTCGCGTTTCGCGCTTAGTTCCGCCTCATCCTGGCGCTGCTGATCGCCGCGTATCCGCTCCAGCATTTGCTCCGTAGTCTCAGTGGTTACCTGATTTAATGCAAACTTTTCCTGCAGTTCGCTGCGCAGTTTTTCGCATTCTTTTTCCAGCTGCAATTGTGTTTTTTTACGGTTTTGTGGATAAAAAACGCGGGCCTTCATTCAAACAAGCTAACTAATAGCGACTAATTACTCTAAGTACGTACAAATACATTTCAATTCATTCCAAAAGCTAATGTTAGAGCACACAAAGCGACAATGGCAAGGAAGATATAGTTGAGTATAGTTGAAGCTAAGTATTAGGTATAGTTAACTGAGAAAGGCAAACTCTGCTAGTGTCCGTCTGGAAGCCCCGCACTACAAATACAAAAGCTTACCTTCCTGCGAACTTCATTTAGTTCGTTTAACTCGGCATTTAGCTTATCTTTTTCAATGTCCAATTTATCACATAGCTCCTTGCGCACATCAAGCTCTATCTTCTGCTCGCGTGCGTTCTCAAGTTCCCTCTCCAAGCAGCGCATGGAGGCGCGCGCGGCTGTCAGCTGCATCTCCAAATCGTCAATTTTGCACTGCCGGCAGCAAAGCTGATCCTTAAGCGAACGTACTTCACACTCCAGTTCGCAAATTTGCCGCCTGCAAGCATTTATGAATATGCGAATTAATTCAGGCAAAGATAATCGCATATAATGTGCCACTTACTTGAACTCTGTCGCCTCAAATTCCAGGCTCTGATTGTTGCCTTCCAAGACGACTTGGTCGTGGGTCAAGTTGTGATAGTGCTCGAGCAATTCCTCACGCTCCTTTTCCTTTAAGACAAAGTATACCTAGCAGTTTAGCACAAACTTCAATACGCCTGCCTTATCAACTAGTTATAATATTTGTTGGCTTTATACCTTATTCATAAGCAAATCCTCGGCCCTCTTCACCTCCTGGACGTATTTGTGCAGCTGCTGTTTCATGTTAGCCACCTGCTGTTCCGAGTCCTTGAGCTTCTTTTGCAGCGTCTTGGACTCCATTTGGGCGTCGCTCAGTTTGTCCGTGAGTCGCCTGTTGAGACACAAACGCATCAGATATCATCGTTAAAAGTCACACAAAAAGCGAGCTAATGATCGGGCACAATAAAAATTAAACAAAGAGTGGCTAATGCGGACCAGTCAGACAAATGTCGTCGCAAGAGTCTGATGCAGTTCGGCATTGCCTAAGATTATTTATGCATATGCATATACGTACCCATTTTCCGCAATTGCCTCATCGCGGCTAGCTTTGAGTGCCACAATCTGCTGCCGCAATGTTTTGCTTTCCGCTGACGTTTCATTCAATGCCGAGTCGCGCTGGCGCGTTCTTGTGTTCAGTTTGCTGTAAGAAGACACTTTTTAGTTTGCAAGCTCAATTCTGGCGCCAAGTCCAAGATAAGATACTTCTGCAGTTCCCTCAGATACATACAATATGAGTAATTAGCTTGCTGCGTGCTGCACACACATTGCGTTCACGGCCATTAGTTGCTGGGTCAAATCAAAAGATTTTAGCAACGAACTTGCTCACTGGCAATTGTAATAGAAATCGATTTGTTTATGCCTTATGCCTAATGTCCGCTCTTAGCTAGCCATTCAAAGAGCGGACGGCGCATTCCCAAGCTAGGCACGTCCGCACATATCCGCAATTCGAATTAAAACTCAAGAACAAAGCACGGCCCTGCGTGCCGTCGACCAGGCCAGACCAAAGCCAACGACCATCGGTGTCAATCATAACTGCCAGCCGGGTGTCACTCGCAACTGAAGCTCGAATGTGTGCGAAGAACCTTTAAGGCTGATCACACACGACGGCAAATTGAAATTCCACTGTGTGTGTGTGTGTGTGTGAGAGAGAGAGGAAGTGCAGATATATCCATTTAAGTTAAATGGAAGAGCGACGTCAACAAGAGTACGCACAGCGAGAGAGCCAGAAAGAGAGAGAGAGTGAAGCGTGGTCCGCTTACCTGGCCCGGCCTTACCGCTGGCCGCAACGCAGAGTGGCTCAGACGTCTGCTACCTGTGCAGGCGAATGGTCGCTTTAAGTGGTCGCGTCTCGTGCTGTGCCCAGTTCTGCTGCATGTGTGAATTGGCATTGGGATTCGGAATCGGTTCGGTATCAGGTCGTACATTGCCGCTGCTGATTGCGTCTGATTGGGGGCGGATCGGAGCTTCAAATCAAACTCCCCAAATATAGCCCCGAGGTGAGCGTGCGTATTAGGAAATTCGAGCAAACTTTGTCAAAAGTGAACACACATCCGCATACATACACACACACACACACACGTACACTCATACACACGCTAATGACTCAAGAATCAATTGAGCTTTGCAGATTAGAAATACCAAACACTTTTCGGCAGCAACTCCCATTGTTGAATCTCCGTTTGTGTTCTTTTGACCAATTCAAAGAGAATACTCTGCTTGGCGGCATTAGGAAACCTGTTGCTGCTCGGCTCTTTGGCTGTTTGGCTGTTACGACAGTCGACTTCAACAAGAAACCCAAAACAAGTCAAAGCTGCGGTTAGCCTAATGCATTATTTATAGCCCAGGCAGCGGCAGCAGCAGCTGTTGTCTGTTGTCGGTTGTCTCTTGCCTGTTGTCTGTTGCCTGATCGCGCTGTTGCCTATTGGATATTCGTTATTTGCGGCTGAGCCCAGCCCCGCCGGGGCAGACAACTTTGTGGAAAAAGTGGGGAATTAGTGCAAAGTGTTGCACGTTTTTCCAGCACCGCTTGGCTGGCTGCCTCTACTTTGTTTCGTCACTAACAACATGCAAGTGGGAATTATATAAATGCGCCGCCTTCCATCTCGGCCGATGGGCAACAGAAGATTTCTGCCAACTGACCGCAACAGCGGCTGGGGCCAAGTGCTATCAGGCCGCTGCTAAAGAAGTCAAGATAAACGCGCATTTGGGTCATGGTTAACAGCGCACGAGCGCATACTGGTTTTTACATTGCCGTGTAGTTTTTGTAAGTCGCGGAATTGCCAAAAACTTTACACAAATCGATGGCCTGCAAGTTGGCTAATTTAATTTGGAGCCGCTTTCGGCCCGCATTCAACCAAATACAAATAAATGTGCGCATGAGTTCAAGATAGGCGGCATCTGTCTTTCTGCCTTAACTATTCTGTCCCTGCATCAAAAGCTTAGCAAAAACGCCATCGCCATCGCCCACGGGCCACAGCCCAAGCCGAACTGTAAAAAATCCATCAATCATGCGTTTTAATGAGCGACTCAAAGCCGGTTTAAATTGGCGCCAGCGCAACGAGAGTAAAAGCAACTTAGGCAAATTAAATCCGGTGCCCAATTACCCGTACCTATAACCATGTACTTCCAGCTGGTTGCGATGCGAACAAAGCGCCGGAAGCTGCTGGTCTGCTGGGCAGCCTTGCAGGCGGGCAGCAGCATATTCACCTATCTGTTGCTCTTGCTGGCACAACAACAGCAGGCATTGGCCGGCATTGTGCCGCCGCCGTGGAGTGACCCGGCAAAGAATCCGTGCGCCAGCATGGCCGGCGGCTGGCAGCTACTCTACTGGACGCCGCTTAAGAAATGCTTTAAGATCTTCACACTTGGCTACCCCTGTCCGGATACCATGGAGCTGAGTCCCACGCCAATAAGCGCCAAAAGGAAAGATGTGCCCGCGGCCGAGTGCCGCTGCCCGCCGGGCACGGCGCTCAGTGCTCTCACCGACGCTTGCCACAAGCTGTACGAGCGCGGGCCCTGCCAGCGGGGCGAGTACTTCCAGCCTCTACCAGAACAGGCCAAGAGGTAGGCAACTGCGTTTTTGTCTAGTTTGTTTCGTTAGCCAATATTTTGCGCTTTCAGAGCCGACAACCGCTGGGGCAGCTGTAAGCGGCCGCTGCACTGCGACGATGGAATGCTCTTCTGGCCAAAGGACGGAAAGTGCTACCCAAAACACTCGAAGGGTCCTTGCATTCGGGGCAAGCTGCTCGCACGCAACGAAGACGGCCTGGCCGAGTGCCGCTGTGAAGATGTGGGCGAGCTGCGACCGTACTATTACACACTGGAGGACTCCTGCTACGAGCACTATACTATAGGCCCTTGCTCAACACCGGGTCACATATTCTTACCCGGAGGCCGCTGCGACTGCCAGCGACATCTGCCCCACTATCACGCCCCATACCAGATGTGCTACGAGCTAGGTAGGTTTTTGAGACCGAAAAGAGGTGAAACGTGATTACAGCCTGCATTTCATCTTATTGCAGACACTCCTGGTCCCTGTCCACCTGGTCATGTCTTCCGCATACCCGACGATATTGAAGCGGATCAGGGACCGGACACGCTGCTAACCCTGCCGCATGCTAAGTGCTTGTGCAAGGAGGGCTATGTGCCCTGGAGCGACGGTCATTGCTATCGCCTCTACACACGCGGACCTTGTGCAGTCAACGAGTTTGTGGTCAATGAAACCTCCTGTATACGAAACTTCTGCGGCAAGAACCGGCTCTACTTCCCCGCCGAGGACTCCTGCTACAGAATTGGTTCACAGGGACCGTGCTCCCTGCACCAGGTGGTGGTATTTGACTTCACGGCACGACCATCCGTAGATGGAATCTCCTACAACGGCATGTGTGGCTGTGCGGGCGTCATCACAAACCTGGACCAGCAGTGCTCAGCCAGCAACGACCAGGAGAAGAGCATTTGCGAGGCCACGCCTGGCATGGTTGAGATGAATGGCCAGTGCCATAAACTGTACTCGCGAGGACCCTGCGGTGCCGGCCAGTGGCTGGAGCCGCTAAAAACGCAATCGACCAACGGCACCGCGCTCTTGAGCTATGCCAGCAAGGCCAAGTGTGTCTGCCGGCCAGGCTATACGCCGGCCGAGACAGCGCACGGCGGAACGCACAACTGCAGCGCACCCAGCGTGAGCCTGGCGAGGTATTTAACGATCGAGCGACAGAACTCGAAGTTCCTCACTGAACCAAACAACCCACTTTCGTCCCCAGCTATAGTTTTACTTTAGTCTATTCTATATCGAACTATTGGATTTGTCTACCCAATTCTCAGCGCATGTCTATTTCTACTTATTTACCTATGTTTCTAACCTATCTATGGCCTGCAGTTTCCGACGCTATACGATTTCATATTAGATCAATCGATTTAATCGTTTCATTTCCTTTTAGGTGGTTCTTAGATATATTTGGCTAACGTTCGTAGCCAATGCTTGGCTTTAAAAGACGCCAGGGTGGGAGATTGTGCCATGAATGTATTACCCCAGCAACTGTATAAATGTTTAAGTGAACTGTAGATAATATGAATAAATATGTTTTATGTAAGTCTATCCATATTATGGCCCACGAATTTTGTATATGTAAAATGACGATGTACTTACTCAACTTGTGACTCCAGTTCTTTAATTGTTTGCTCCAGTGCATGTCGTTTTTCCTTGCAATCCTTATGTTCGTACTCCAATTTATAGAGGCGCTCCGTTTTGTTATCCAATTGATTCTACGGACAATCGATTGATAAAAGGGGGAGAACAGAAATTGGACACTCGCACGCTTACCAGCAGCATATCCTTTTCATGCTCCAAGGCAATGTAGGTCTGACGCAGTGATCCGATTTCCGTCCGCAATTGCGTAACCTCATTGCGATTGGTTTCGCGACTTGAATCCAATGTGCTGGCACGCACATCCGCCTTATGCAGCTGACGCTCCGCCAACAGAAGCTTACTCTGATAATCGCTTATGATTCGCTCGTTCTGATCATTAATCAAGCTGCAAATAACAAACTCGCTTTAAGCTTAGCTGGATAGATTATTGCCAAACACTTACGTTATTTGTCCGTTTTCCCTCCTCAGGTGCTCATTCTCGGCCTGCAGCGTCGCTAAGCGTTTGTTTAGCTCAGCCATATCTTCCTTCAAGAGAGCATTATGTGTTTCCGTGGGCACGCGTGCCGTATTTAGGTCACGGTAATCTCGCTCCAGCTGGCGTATGCGATCCTGCAAGTCCTCATTGCGCAGACGCAGAGCTTGCAGCTCCTCGGCGTGCAGTTGCACACTGCTCAACTGCTTCTCCCGCAGTGTGTCCCGCTCGCAACGCAAGCGTTCGAGCTCAATGCGTGCACAGTCGCGTTCGCGTTCAACGCGTCCAATGGCAGCCTGGACGCAGTCGCTCCGATTGCTGTTGCTGTTCGAGCTGCATGTGGTGGTGGGTGGTGGTAAACTGTCGCAGTGGTCGCCCTTTCGGGGTGACATCTGCAGCTTAGCAACGGACGCCTGGCATAACTCAGAGCGAAGAGCATGAAGCTCGTCGTCTTTTGATTTGATTTGGGCCTGCAGGAACGCAACCTCGGAGTCCGAGCCTGATTTGCTCATGAGGCGTAGATACTCCTTTTGGAAAAAGTCTCGCTCAGACTTTAATCGTATTTTCTCCTCATCCAGTGTAACACAGCTTTGCTGCTGCTGCTCCCGCAGCTCTTTTTGTAGCGTTGACATCTTCGCTTCCATTTTGAGCAGCTTCTTTTTATGCTTTTCATTTAGCGCTTCCAACTCTTCTTCACGTCGTGTTAGCAGATTGAGCTTTTCGTTAAGAATTCGCTTGTCATTGTGGACCGAGGATTCATCGCACCCGGCGGCCAGGCGCGGGTTCTTGGTTCGTTGATCATTGCGTCGGTGGAATTGCTTCAGCTCGGTTTGCAGCTGTCTCAGCTCCAATTCCTTCGCATCTATTTCGGAATTGGCTTGCTGCTCCACCTGCAAAGCGGCTTCCTTTAACTCGTACAGTTGCGTGTGCAACTTTTGTTTCTCTTCCTCAATGCGAAGCGCACGTTGCATGGCGTCGTGCATCTTATCTTGATACTCGCCAACCTGAGCCATCAGCTCGCTATTCTCGCGCTGCAGCATGTCAATATCCTGGGAGAGGGCGCCCACTTCCTTGTAGCAGCAATCTTTTGCTAATGCTGCGGGTGGCCGGCCCCCTGCGAGCAAATCGTTCAGCCGTCGAATCTCCCGGTTGCGCGATTCTACTTTGCGCTTATAGAACTCCAATTGTTCGCCGGCACTTGTGAGCTCATTTTGCAGTCTGTCAATCTCTTCTGCTCCACTTGTATGCGTAACTGTGACGCCATCCTTAGTGGTCGTTGTAGTCTTTTGAAAAACTCCAGCATTGCACTTGGTGCATTTCAACGAGGAGTTGGTTGAAATGCCACTTAAGGCGGGCAACGCTTCGCCAGAACGAACCGTACTTATAAAAGGCCGTTTGTCTGTAAGTAGGTGCATATTTAGTGGAAAATATTGCCAAACTCTTGTGTTACATACTCTGCCTCGATATTGCAAGCTGCGTTCGTTTAGCAGTTGCCGCATTGATTAATTGCTTTGATAAAAACGCATCAAGTTGACTTTGTAGTTGCACATTATGGCTTTGCAGATGCTCGTTATCAGTCTGCAGATTGCGTATGCGCCGCTCAGCCTCTACAGAGATAATTATTAGTATTGTTAAGGGAACCGAATTATTAATGTAGTCGACCTACCATAAAGTCGGAGTTCGTAGCCTTCGCGTTCTTTAAGAGACTGTAAGTGCAGCTCGTTGCACTCGGCCAGCAAACGCGAATTGTCACATTTGTAGGGCTCAACGCCCAGTTCCCAGCAGGCTTTTTCCTAGGGCAATACTTTAGAGCGTTTCACGCACATAAATCAATTTAATTACTTACTTCCAAGAGATCAGCAACTTGCCTTTTTGTATCACGGAGGCATTCTGTTGTTTTGATTAAATCACCAAATATAGCTCCAACTAGCGGTATTGCTAGTACGGGCAACGTTTGGTTGAAGCCCATTACATCGAGCTTTGTGCGTAGATCCTTAAAATCCCAGTCGTTCATATTTATATTTAAAAAGTGCACTTTTATTTTCTGCAACCGCGCGTTGTCTTCCTCTTAAAGTAGTTTGCAATATTCCGATAAGTTTTCGATAGACTCTGATGAATGACAAAAGGTGGCGGCCAGTCGATAACAGATGCAAGCAATTTATCGGCGTGGTGAGAATTTACTCCTATAAATATGCAATGCATAACATAAAAGGGAAATGCATTTTTAAACCACAAACATAAAGACCATGATGCTTGTATTGATAATTGCATATGAAATATACATTATTGGCTCTAAAAGCTGTCGACTATTCGCATTTGCTTTTCAAGTATCAATTTCGCGCTATTCAAAAAAGCAAACATAAGTGTAAATTTAAAATGTATACACAATTTTCGATTTCTAACGGATTTGACACATTTAAAATAACAAATTTTCGAACAGATCGATCTTTATAAAGAACTTCCAGAATCGATAGCTTGACCCTTTACTGGGATGGGAAATCAACAGGTGTTACAACAGGTGTAGCTTAACTTACTCAATAACAAAACATTGAAAATTTTTGAACATGAAAGGTGCATCATCGTCTGATATAAAATTACGTTCCGGCTTCTCTGACCCAAAGGGATTTGTGGTGGGCGGCAGCACCACACTTAACTGACGATTCGACTGATTGAGAAAATGACTCAAGTCCAGCGGCGCTTCGTATTTAGTATAAGATGTAACGACAACAGGACATTTGAGATTCAAAGTTGCCCGTATTGTCTCCGGCCAGGTGTCCTCCAATGCATAGCCAGTAGCCCGATACAGTCCCGAGTTGAAAAAACAGGCTGTTCGAAAATTATAAGCGTATTATATGCGATTTACCCTTAGAATTTGATAAGGATGATATATTATAATCTTGGCTACACAAAAGTAGTTTTCATAGAGTGAAGACTAAAAGGAGAACTTTTTGCTGCGAATGCTGCAAGGCTACACTCAAGAGAAGCTTCTGATTTCATTATAAAAGTCTTACCTAAGTCCGGTTTTTGAAAATCTGCTGCCGAGCAATAATTGTGATAAAGTTGATTCTCAAAATGATATTTCACAGTGCGTTGTGCCTTGCGACACAAACGACAACATCTATAGATGAGAAAAGTTGGTAAATAAATTTGAATTTAAAATGTTATACAGGTAAATTCCCACCTAATCTTTGATAGTTGGTCAAAGGATATATTCTTGGTATTTAGCTCTGGTCCAACGAAAACGACATTCAACGTTGCAACTGCAGGTAAAATGTGCAGCAAGAAAATCTCCCACTTCTGAAATACGTCAACTTCGAATTCCATTTCCGCCCCGACCAAATGAATTGTTAGCTCCTTGGCTTTCAGACGTCCGCAAAGCTTTAGGGCTAAAAATGCGGTTAGAGGTCCTGTGGATATCTGCGTAAGTGCGGCAAACTCGCATGCATCGGTTACATCTAAGGGAGGTAGGATTAGTATGGACATAAGCATCCCCTCGAGCATTCCCTTACCAAAACTTAACTTTTTCAATATTTGCCTGGTATTGGTGCTGGCAAGTGGTGCATCTCTCAAGACCTTGTCGGGCAACGGTGGTTCCAGCCGTCCGAACTTCGCCTGGAACATGACAAATACCTTGAAGAGTCTGAATGCGCCACACCACTCGGCATGTCCAGCGCCCAAATGATCCGGCTTATCCCTGCAGAAGGCAGCCTCGCTACAGCGCCCGCACGCGGCTAGCTTCTTTAGTCTGTGCTCCCGGCACTGGACATGCCCGCAAATGAAGGGAAAGAGCAGCACCTCCTGCTCAGTGGCCGTTAAGGAACGATTTATGGCCTGCTCCAGCTGACGTATGCACACAATGCGATACGAGCGAAACTGTTCGGCAGTAAAGTCGCCGCACTTATAGAAGGTATCGTGCCCTGAAAATATGCTTCGCTATTTCCACGTCCATAAAATCTACCACACCCACCCACCATTGCGCTCCACCAACTGGCGCAGGCCGTAGCACAACTGGCGGTGCTCCTGATCGTCCCGCATGTGGAGCACGCTGCAGTAGTAGACCAAGCCACAGCCTCTGCACGGCATCGGCTGCCGGCCGCACAGATCCACCTTGCAATGCTGTAAATTCCGATGGTTTTATTTAAATCACATCGGGCCAAAGGGGCCGGACCACAACTCACGTTGCACAGCGATGCCATGAAATATTGCCGCGGCTTGTATATGTACTCCACGTACTCGGCCTCCTCGTCGGATGACTCCGAGTCGCTCAAGGGCGCCGTGCTGAACATCTTGCCAAGCTGACTGAAAACCGCACCCGTCGGCAACTCGGCGGAACCTACATGGTGCATATATATACATGGATTTTATGCGTGGAGATAGTTATATCACTTCTATGGACACATTGGATACCTTTTTGCAGCTTGTTTCCAATGCATTTTAGAAGCTCGCTCACTTCATCACTTTGGTTGCCGTTGGCAAGTTTTGGCGGAGGAGCGGGCACTTTGGCTGGAGCAGCGTTTGCTGGACTTGTCGCCACCGATGGACTTTTTTTGGCCAACAGTTTCTTGCGCAGAATCTTTTGTATTAGGTAAATGGCGCTGGTGTTCGGCTCGACTTTAGGTGGCTCGGGCTGCGGCTCAACCTGCTCCAAGTCGGAGGAGACGGGCACGGATTCTGGAACATCCAGGATTTTCGCCTGCTCGGTTTCGCCGGACCGGTTGCATTTGTTTCTGGGCCGATTACGTGCGCGCGCCTTCTTCTTTTGATTAGCGTGCATGTCCGATCCAATCTCTACGCGCGTCTTCTCGCGCAGAATTTACTCATTTGAATGAACAATACAAATGGCAGAGTACCCAAGATAATTAGCCAACACAATTGTGCACGGGCACAGCAGGGCGCAGCAGGCATACGCCCGTCTATTTGTGGACTTGGCTAGCAGAGACAGCGGCAGTCGTCTTGGCTTCGTTAAACACTATCATGAGCGTTTGATAAATTTCTGCGCCGGACCAGAACAAGAGCAAATTTTTTGGCTGTGACCACAATGCGGCTTTTATTTGCATGTGTAGTACGAGTATGTAGCTATATGTATGATTGATGTAGCAGGCCACACACACACACATACATATTTACATAACCAATTGAACACAAGTACATGCTGTTTGATATACACTCTCAGATCGGCCGGATGCGAACCTCCACTCTACACTAAAGTGCTTTCCGAAAATAAAATACTTTTGGCTAGATGATAGTACCAATTTTGATGTCAAGACATGCATCTGTTGTCGTTTCCCAATATGTTTAAGATATTCTTGGTGAATAGATAAACATGTTCTCGGGCATTTGTTTTCAAGCTTTCTCAAGGAAAAAAATATATTTCACAGCTATTTGGCATGCCATTCCCATAAACTTAAAACTTTAGATTGGTTTCAGGTATCAAGTCCTTTTGACTTTGTTTGACTATGAATAACTGCAAAAGCTTACATGTTTAACATTATTCATTTGAATAAATTTTCAATAGAATATTGTTTAAGACAAAAAGTTAATCGCCCACTTTCGGATTTAAAGCGACGTAAGAATCAATTATAGTTCGATATGATATCGAAAAATCATATATTAGACCTTTTAATTACATTTTGATATAGACTCATGATGAAAAGAAGAAAAGCGTGCCTTCAAAAGGTTTAAGCGCCAATTCCACCACAGGCTCCCTCTTCTTCGGGATCCGAATTGTTGTCACTGACAGTAAACCCATTTCCATTCACAAGTTTAGGTTGAGATTGAACTTCTTTGCAGGGGCTGCTCTTGCCATTTACCATTTCATCCTCATCCGACGACGCATCGGACAGCTGGCGAGGGGACAAGCGGCAGCCACGATCTATATAGGACTTAAGTCTACCCTCGGATGCTAAAATAAGACCCAAGAAGGGCGGCGAGGGCTTCAGTGGCCGCGACAAGTACTCCGGGTGGTACTGAGTGGCCACAAAGTACGGATGATCCCGCAGCTCGATGATCTCCATGCGTTTCTTGTCCTCGTCCGTGCCGACGAATCTCATGCCGTGGCTTTCTAGTTGCGATACATACTGGGGATTGACCTCGTATCGATGTCTGTGTCGCTCATCCACTGTCTTAGGATTTCCATAAAGCTTGCGAATGATGCTCGTCTGTTCGGAGAATATTGTGGTGCGCTTGCCCAACCGCATTGTGCCGCCCATTTGACCTATGTGATGCTCCGGCATGTCAATAACCAATGGATTGGTTGTCTCGGGGTTTATCTCCGTGCTGTTGGCATCCTGGAGACTCAGCACGTTGCGTGCAAACTCTATAACCGCCGCCTGCAGACCCAGACAAATGCCTAAGAAGGGTTTGCGATTCTCGCGCGCCCACTGACAGGCGCGTATCTTTCCCTCCATGCCGCGTGCTCCAAAGCCTCCAGGCACGAGTATACCGTTGCTTTCGCACAACTTTTGCCACTCCTTGTGGTACTTGGAAGGCTCCCGCTGCAGTGTCTCCTGCTCCAGCAGGCACGACTCGATGAAGATCAAGTTCGGTTTGCGATTTACGGCCAGCGCAGCATGTTGCACCGCCTTCACCACGGATGCGTACGAGTCCGTGAACTTGGTGTATTTGCCTACAATAGCTATGTTGACCTCGCGCCGCACAGTTTCCGTGCGCCTGGCCAAATCCCGCCAATGCTGTAAGCACCTGCGCACAAAAGAAAAGATTGGATTGATAAAGAGAACATCTCGCATAGTTGAATCAAACTTACTTGGCCCGCTTGCTCATGTCGATGCTCAGCTTCAGACGCTCATTGAGGAACTCGATGACACCGTTCTGTTCCATCAGGAGTGGCACATGGTATATGGAACTTAGGTCGTGTATGCATATAACTTGGTCTGGGTCCACGTGACAGAAATTACTGATCTTCTCCTTCACCTCTAGGCCGATCGGCTTCTCAGAGCGGCATACAATAAGATCCGGGCTCAAGCCACAGCCACGCAGCTCCCGCACGGAGCTCTGTGTGGGCTTTGTTTTAGGTTCGCCCGTGGCCTTTGGCAGCGGCACCAGCGACACATGGGCCAAGCAGAAATTCTCGCGTTTTACGCGAAACTGAAACTGTCTAAAGGCTTCGACAAATGGCATGCCCTCAATGTCGCCAATGGTGCCGCCAAGCTCAATGATGCACACCTGCGGCTTGGATGAGCCCTGGACAGGTGTTTGGGCCACGCTCTCCACCCATTCCTGTATGGCGTCTGTTATGTGCGGCACAACTGTTATCAAAAGTACGGCATTAGCTTCAAGTATAGATGTCAACACACACAGAAATCTTACCCTGCACTGTTTTGCCTAGGTAGTCGCCTCTGCGCTCCTTCTCGATGACGAGCCTGTAAATTTTGCCGGTTGTTATGTTATTGTTCCGGTGCAACGTTATATCAAGAAAGCGTTCGTAGTTACCCAGATCTAGATCGACCTCGGCTCCATCGTCGAGCACGTACACCTCACCTGCGAAAAATAAATTGTCCCGATGAGCAAGACGCTACAAAAAGTATTCCACATGGAATAGTTATACTGAAGGGTGTGAAAACAGATTGATTTCGAGGCTTCACCAAGTCCTTGTTTCCTATTTCCAACTAAATTTAGACTTAAGTCCTATTATAACAAGAGTTTGGCACACAATTCCCCTCCCAAAAAAATCCTCTTACCGAGAAATTGAACGTTTACGGTTTTTATTTGCAGATCTTTGAGCTTAGGCTAAATGGCGCGCACCAGAGCCCGTTGGTGGTTGGGCGGGCTGGTGGCAACGCTCAACTAGAAATGGATAAAGTCGCATGGCATAGATAACTATGGATTAGATTTAATCCTTACAAACTAGGGATGCTTATTTACAGTCTTTATATTCATGGAAATTGGGAACGGGCAACTACTTGGACTCCTCGAGATCCTCCTTGTAGAGCTCCTTAAATATGAGCTTCTGTATCTTGGTGCGTATGCGCAGTTTCTGCGCAGCCGTCAGCTGCTTCATGTACGGATGCAGGCTGAGCAAGTAGTGATAGTCGTCATCCTCCGGCACCAGCGGCGCGTCCATCGTGGAGGAACCATTAAAATTGCTGTCCTCCGACAGCCGTGGCCGCTTTAGCTTCAATGCCGGAATCAGACCATTGGCATACGAGTGTTGTGTGAAATTCAGATGCTCGCTGCCGCCGCTGACAGCACCTCCGCCAAAGTCCTCCTTGGCGCCGACCGTGTGATGGCCGACAGGTAGCGTGGGCAGCGGATGATGCGCCTTGTTATATAGCGGGGGTGGCGACACCGAGCGCTTGGCGCCCATGGCTCCCGAGTTGCCGGATGTGTTGGAGGTGGTAGTCGCTGCCGCCAATACTGTGCCGGCCAGCTGCGTCGCTGTGGCCACAGCACTGTTGGTTGTGGTGGTGGACACCATTGGCGGAGGGGAGCAGTGAGCGGGAGCGGCGGGTATTTCCTGAGTCATGAGTGTTGCCATCGCAGTCGCCGCAGGAGTCTGTGTTGATTTTTTGCTCAGGTCCTGTGCCTCCCTTTCCAATTCCAACTCCAACAGCTGGGCGCGCAACAGACCCGCCTTGAGCAGAGCGTGCTGATGCGAAGCGGCGAACGCCTCCTCCTGGGCTTTCAACGCGCCCGTCGCCAACGGCGTGGTGCTCACTTGAGTTTGTTGATGCGCCGCTGGCGGGGTGGGCAAACCGTCCAGGCTGCCGTCGCTGGCCTCGCCGCCAGCGTCGCCATCGATGTCGTCCTCATCGAAATCCTCGTCGCTGTCCTGCAGGCGACGTATGAGCCCATTGGTGAGGTCTGGCTCCACCACGGTCTTCTCGCAGTCCTCGCTTTGGCTCTGCTGGTTGAAGTAATACGACTGATCCTGCTCGTTCTTGGGCAGACGATGGCGCATGTGATCCGCTGCAGAAGTTACGGATGCAAATGTCAGGTGACACCCGAAAATAAGTCGGCCGTGGAGGTACTCACTGAGAAAGAGCAGGGCGTAGTAGTGCAACCACTTGGACTCAAATGTGGCAGGGTCCACCAAAAAGTCGCCGTTGTCTGCGCGCGGAATGCGCTTGTACTCGACCCTGAAGTTATCCCGCAGTCCTTTCCACTTGGCTTTCAGAACGATTTCTGCCAGAGAGCAAATTAGTATCAAATCACGTGCTACACCCAAATCCGCGCATAGAACAAGCTACTCTCTGAAGGCATAACTTCCTTTGGAGGCGACTAGGCCACACTTTTTCACCTTACGTAAAGTTGTTGTGCCACGAGAGTTACTTAGTCCATGGAGCAAGCTCTCTATTACACTCGTACTTACTCGGTAGCTTGTGTGTGCCACTCAGCTCGTCCCACATTTGCTCCAAGAAGGCCTTGTTGCAGTGGAAGTTGCGGTTCCATATCGCCGGCCTTTCCTCGATGTCGTGAATGAACTGCTCCACATTTAGAACAATTGTTGATTTTTTTGGCGCCATTTTAACGGGCCTTTTGCTTTACTTTGATTTTTCGTTTTACTTGTTTCACACACGCCTGCTGTCTGCTGTCTGTTATCTGCTGTCTACTGTCGCCTGCCAACAACGAATGCAATTGCAAATTCAAAACACAGCTCACCATCTCACAGACAGTTTACTCTCACTTTACACACACAGACTGACACACACACGTACACGTACACGTACACGAGCACACACATTTACGTTTTCGGGTGTGGGAGAGTGAGCCCGGCTTCATTGAGTAAAACCCCAATCCTATGCTGAATGCAAGCTTTAACTGTAGTCTGGTTATTGTGAGAGTCGCATAGTATTTTAATTTGTCGTTTACCGTTGAATAGAAAGAGCGCTCACAGGGAGCACGTGTTTTGTTCTCAGTGCTTAAGACAGACAGCGAGATCTTTTGCGTACGCGACGATAATTTCAGAA